TCCCCTGCATCGGCAGGCGGACTCTCAACCACTGCGCCACCAGGGAAGTACTACTTAATCTTTTAATAAAAAAATTCCCATAAAGAAAACTTTAGGTTCAGATTGTTTCTTTGGTGAATTCTAGCAAACACTTAAGGAAGAAATAATGATCAATCTTATACAAACTCTTCCTGAGCCTTGAAAACAAAGAAGTACTCACTAGCGTGTTTCATGAGGCCAGCAAAACCTGACATGTTTCTATTAGAAGAAGGAAAATAATAGACCAACCTTACTTGTAAACATAGACACAAAATATTAAACAAAATTTTAATGCTACTCTATATTCAGTAATACATAAAAAGGCCAATATATCATGATCAGGTTGGGTTTATGCCAGCATTGCAAGGTTGGTTGAACAGTGGAAAACCAATCCATGTAATTTACCATACTAACAGAATAAAAGAGAAAAATCCTATGATCATCTCAACCAGTGCAGAAAAAACACCTGATAAAACTCAATATCCAATCATGATAAAAACTCTCAGCAAACTAGGATTAGAAGGGGGATTCCTTAACCTGTGAAATCGTTTGTTAAAAAACAAAACAAAACAAAAACTCAGCAACCCACTTCAAACAATGGTGAAGTGTTGAGAGATTTCCCTTTTAAATCAGAAACAACATAAAGGTGCCACTACTACTACTTCTCTTCAACACTGTACTGGAGGTCCTAGCCAACTGGCTAAAGCAAGAAAAAGAAGTACAAGGTATAAGGATGGAAACGAAGAAATCAACTGTTACTATTCACAAATGATATAATTGTATGTAGAAGATCTAAAAGAATATACAGTAGCTAAGCCAGTGTGATACTGGCATAAGGTAGATAAACAGACCAATGGAATAGAATACAGAGCCCAGAAACAGACTAATGCTATATGGACACTTGATTTATGACAAAGGTGGCAATGTATTATAGAACAACATATTTTCAACAAGTGGTGCTGAAACAACTGGATACTCATATCGGAAAAAAAAAAAAGAAACCTGATCTCTACACCATAAATAAAAATCAATTCCAGGTAAATTGTAGGTGTAAATGTGAAAGGACAAACTGTAAGGCTTCTAGAAGGTAATACAGGACATCTATCTTTATTACACATTCACAAACGATGATATCCAAATGGCCAATAAACACACACAAAAAGGCACTTGATCTCATTAGTAACTAGGGAAACACAAATTAAAACCATAACAAGATAATAGTATATAATAGCTGAAACTAAATAGGCTGACAATAACATGTCAGAACACTCATATGGGAACTCTCCCATGCTGCTGGAATCAATTTTATACAATCCCTTTGGAAGAGTTTGGCATTTCATTATCTATTAAATATATGCATACTTGATGACCTAGAAATTCCACTCTTAGATGGGTATGTTACAGAAATTCATCTACATGTCCACCTAGAGACATATTCAAGAATGTTTATAGCAACCTTATCCACAGTAGTCCCAAACTGGAAACAACTCCATTAATTTTAAGTAATGAAAGTAATAAGTAATGAAAGTCAGTGCAATAAAGAAATTTGGTGCATGTTTCAGGAGTTAATTTCACTTTTTTGTGTGCCTTATATTAGAAGAGATGTTGTAAATGCAAATAAAGGCCACTCCATTTAAATTCCACATGTCATGGGTTCACACTTTGAATCTGTACTTATGGTCTCCTCTCCATGGGGATCTAGGTTATTAAGGGCCAAGTGTTCCAGGACACAGAAGGAATAAGTTTGCAGAGATGGCCCTCCTGAATGTGATATCACTGAGGTTTTGCCTTTGGTGGGAATCTCAATGGACCATGCTTCATGTGAAACATTTGTTCCTCTTAGGTAGCATGAAACAAGTATCAGGGCTCTCTGCTTGGGCTTTGCTCTTGTAAGGAAAGGGGTTAGGAAATCCTTCACGGTCACCTACATGACACTTACTCCATTCCACTTATTCCACACTTATTCCATAGTATCAGTTTGTTTCCCACATATATCCTAACTCCTAACTAGCTAATTCTACCATGTAGGTGAAGCATAGGCTTAAATACTTTTGCATCTCATAGCACGAGTTAGTTACATAATAGGCTCTCAACAAGTGTTTTTACTGCCTACATGGGTTTCATTACTGTACACATATTTGAAATATATATAATTAGCAGTTTTTCCACAGCTATAATGGTTTACACCAAATCTGTAATTTTGGTTTACATCAAGTTTTCCATCACCCAGGAGAAAAGGCTTTTTGTTATTCTGTTGATATGAGCAAAATTTATAAATTTTGTCTCCTGAGAGTTGGCAAGAAGCATGTTCAACCTCAATATGGAAAAGACTGTGGAAGTCAGTTAACTACATTTACATTTAAGGCATGCAAATAGTATTAGACTGAGCTCTCTGGGAGTCAAGCAAAAATTAATAGATCTGTTTTATTCCAAAAAGATTCTGAGGAAGTTGTTGCTTATACAGCATTTTGGCTAGAAATCTATGAATTTTACATGATTGCAAGCAAATGTGCTAGCTGCTGTTTCAATGTTGTTCCAGAAACATCTAGATAGGGTGTGAGAAGCTCAAAGACTAGAGTTACTGAACTCTCAGACTTGAGTTTTTTTCCTTAGAGCGCTCAGCAATTTACTAGTGCTGCCCCCTTTTTTCACTCCTAGTCTATCTGAAATAGCCAATGGTTTGAAGCAGCAGCTAAACAGGAGTGGGGCTCAGTGATTCTGTAGTTAGACTGGACGTTTAACGTTGAACTCTCTCTTAAGATCTGGAGATCAGGCATACAAACCAAGTCCTCTTGACTGTTGCCTGAATTGTCTCAGAACTATTAAATAGTTCTTTTCTATCAGTCAAATAACTCCTGGAATATCTTAACTCTTTCACAGAGACTGTGTTAGCAAGAAGGTGGCTCTTTAGAAAGGAGGTGACTTCACTGGGCTTAGAATGCTTATGGCAATGCTTTCTCTTGCCATTCCCAAGACTTATCTTTTACACATTATGCAAAAAGGAACTCTACTTCTGATGGCTGAGGTCTGCAAGGTGGCTTATAAAAGTGTATCTAATCAACTGGCTGAAAACGATTGTGGAGCACTGTCCTACAGATAGGCCCCTAATTTCACCAGGTGCCACTCTCCAGAAATGAAGTCAATTTGTAGATAAATGAGAAGTCTTAAGAGCAGCTGTAGGGTAATTCTATCTCTAGCAACACAAAACTTTGGCACCATTAGGGAAAGGAAGGGCGCAGCACCCAGTAACCACGGAAAGAGAACCAAGGTTGCAACTTAGCATTAGCATTTACTAGCTGCACACCCTCGGGCAACTTAGTGTCTCGGAGTCTCAGTTTTTTCATCTGTAAAATGGAGATTACTTACTTGAGATATAGCATTAAGCACTGTGCCAGGCACGAAGTAGGCGACGAGAAAATGACAGCTATTTGCTCTAATGGTTATAGGCATGAATCAGTTTTGAGTTAGTTTAGTGACTCCGCAGAAAGGGGGAGCAGAGGTGGAGCAGCAGGAAAGGATGGCGTTGGTTCGCTCGTCAGGTCCCCAGCACCGCCCATGTCTCCTGCTCCGAGGCGTTTGCTCCCGAAAGCTACTCCAGAGGCTCAGGCCACAATCGAGGAGGCCACCCATGGCACTAGGACACGTCGGGGACGCTTGCGGTTTGACTCCCGGTCTAGCCCATCCCGGGCCGAACCAACCCCGGGACTGCTCGAACTCACCTGCTTGACAGGTGTCGGCGGTCTGGGGCGTGACCGCGGAGGCGGGGGGGTGCGGTGGGCGGGAGCTGAGACTATGAAGCTCCAGGCGCATGGCACCCGCCGCCCAGTCGCCGCGGTGGCTGCCGGGATGCGCCGCAACGAATGGTCGCGCCGGGCGCAGCTTTGAGTGACCTTTCACCCGCGCCCAGCGGTACCGGGCGGCGGCACAAGGCGGAAGCCATGGCGGAGGCGGTGGCTGCGGCTGCGGCGGGCGGGACGGGCGCGGACGCGGGCTCCGGTTCTGCAGCGGACAGGGAGCGGGACCGCGCCGGGCGGAGGCTGCGGGTTCTTTCGGGCCATCTGCTGGGCCGGCCCCAGGAGGCTTTGAGTACCAATGAGTGCAAAGCGCGGAGAGCGGCGGCGGCGGCGGCCGCCACGGCGGCGCCCACTGCCACTCCTGCCGCGCAGGAGTCGGGCACCATCCCCAAGAAGCGGTGAGTAGCGGCTCTGTGGAGCGAGCTGGCGGTGAGGGACCAGTCCGGGCCTGTGCTGCGGGATGGCACCGGCGAGATGGGAAGGGAGGTGATACGGGTGGGCGGAAGGCATTCGGGTTCATGAAAGTGCGGACCATCTCGTTTTTAAGAGAGCGTGGATGAGACCCTGGACTCTGTCAGGAAGGGGGACGGATGAAATGGTGGATTTTGGTCACTGTTTGAGAGTAGTAGACCTGAAGAACTCTTATTGGGGAAGGCTTTCAGGGGACCCTTTTTCTTGGATTCATAATGCGAGAAATTCATTCTCTGTATGGAATTAATACTTTGGAAGCCAGGGTCTTGGAATAAATAGAAGGGGTTTTATTGTGATCCTCTAAAGAAATTTAGGTTCGTACCAAATGATGGATCTCTTCTAATTCGCTCAAGCTTCGGTGCGGGGAGAAGTGGTTTCTGGAAGAAGGTGCTGCTGACTGGTTTCTGTGGGGTAGATTTCTGCTTGCTTAGGGACATGGTCTTTGACTTTGAGGGAGGAAATCGAGGGGTGGGTTAGAAGCAATAAACAGCAGACACTAGTTAGTGATTTAGGGTGTGGTGGTAGCTACTGAGCTCTGGTGTAACCAGAAGGTGAAAGATCCTTGTCTGTGGTTGAGGTTGTTTGTAAGACATCTTGACTACGGCTTTTTGGCGAAATGTTAAGCTCTGATGGAAGCCACAAGGAAAACCTATTTTTTGAGATGTGGTTTTGTCAGCGTGGATAAACTTTTAAAGTGGAAAAGAAAGTTGCTAATGTTTAATGTGTACTTTCAGTGTGCCAGAGATTGTGCTAAATCTGTGATTTCTTTTATTCCTCTCCAAACTATGAGATAGGTGCAGTTATCTCTCATTTTACAGATGAAGAAATAAACAAGATTTAGAAGCCTGCTGCAGGATTGGCAGGTACACTCTGGCAGGTTAGATTTCGAAAGTTCGTCAAGTTGACTTTAGGGCCAAATTCTTAAGCAGTACTGCTTCCAGTGAATTCATTCATTAATTCAACATTCATGAGTCCTTCCTTCAATACATGTTCACTGTACTAAGAATAGAGAGATTTAAAAATGCAGTATTTACTCATAAGGAACTGATAGCCTAGTAATGTTATAACACAGTGAGATAAGAAACTTAGCTGATAACCATAGCAAATAGTCACTTAACCCGGATTTGGGTATTTATTTGTTAGGGCAAAGGCTTTCCAGAGTAAGGATTGCCTGAGTAAATCTTGAAGGTTGTATTGGAAGGAGCCTAACAAAGGAGAAGAGCTTTTTTTTTTTTTTTGGCTGCATTGGGTCTTTGTTGCTGCGTGTGGGCTTTTCTCTAGTTCTGGCGAGAGGGCTACTCTTCTTGCAGTGCCCGGGCTTCTCATTGCGGTGGCTTCCCTTGTTGCGGAGCACGGGCTCTAGGCACGCGGGCTCAGTAGTTGTGGCGCACGGGCTTAGTTGCTCCGCGATATGTGGGATCTTCCTGTACCAGGGATTGAACCTGTGTCCCCTGCATTGGCAGGTGGATTCTTAACCACTGCACCACCAGGGAAGTCCAGAGAAAAGCCTTCTTGGTGGAAAAACTGTGTTCACAGGTAAAGCAGTAAGAGGTTGAATTGCTAAGAGTTAAGTGTTGCAGGAGGAGGTGAGAATGACTTGGGATGAGGGTTGGAGATGTGGTCTTGTTTGCAGGATTTTATGTGGGGTAAAACATGATTACATTTACCTTTTAGAAAGGTCACATTGAGGATTGAGTTGAAGCTTTAAGCAGCTGAACATATAGTTTCTGGAAACATAGATCTGAGTTTGAATTTCTCCTTCACAATTCCAGCTGCATGACTTTGGGCAAGTCACTTAACCTCTCTCAGAGCTTTAGACCCCTCATCTTTGAAAATGAGGACAATAATTCCTGCTTTGCATTGTTGCTGTGAGAATTGGAAAATATAAAGTGATCAAGCGCTTAGTGCAATGCCTGTTTCATAACCCCTCAACAAATGGGAGATGCAGTTTTGATTGAGTCCAGAGACAGGGAGACCATTTAGAAGACTATTATCCTAGTGAAAAATGCTGTGATTCTGAACTAGGGCATAATGTTTGAAAAAGTATTTGAAAAAGTATTAGGAGGTAAATTTTCCATAACTTGGTTACTGAGTGGTGGGGGAGGAAGGAATCAAGAATCACATCTTGGCCTCTGGCTTCATTTGAAGTTATATTAGCTGTGACTGGGTTTAAAACTTTAAATTTTTCTAATGGCTTAATGTACATTTATGTCCATTCATTTGTGTGCATCTGTGTGGTTGTACATTTATATGCAAGTTCACACTCTCAGAGCTAAGTAGGTAGGACAGGTGTTCCTTAAGGCTGGATTTAGGGGCCTTTGTCTGCAGCATTTGGAGAAAAATAGTAATGTTTGGAAGGCACTTTGGGGTAATGGGTGAGGCTTCTCATGGCTGAAGGTGACTGGTCTGGGAGGCCTTCTGTGGCTGTTCCATGGACTGAAGTCCCAACTGTATGTAATCTATGCTATCAGTGGCTCTGGTCTTTCATTCAGGATTAGGTGTGGCTAGTGGTAAAATTTAATCCTGTACAACTGTTTTAAAGTTTGAATCAAAATATGAGGGAACACAAAAACTTGTATTCGATGGAACATCAGAAGCTTCTTCACAGAGTGATCTACTGGTTAGCTGGAGCTCAGTTTGCCAGCACCAGAGCTGAGCCTAAAGGGAAGGCAAGTGATGGAGCAGGAAGGAGCCAGTGTGTATATCTAGTAAAGTGTGAGTGTGACTATATGTCATTATTTTGGAAGCATTTAGTGATGTGTATTATTCGTATAATTCCTTCTCTTTTATTACCCTGGATGATGTCATTGGTTGTAATTCTTTTATTTCATGACTGATTATCATCATGGAATTGGAGGAGTAACTTCTTGAAACTCCATGCTTTTATTCCTCTTACAGAGTAGTCATGCATGTTAATTTACTCAACATTTATAGAGTAGTTGCTTTATGACATACTGTCTTAGGTTCTTAGGTATTGGAGGTAAAGAGATGATAATAGTCCTTGGCCTCAAAGAATTCAGTATAGAAAGGGAGATGCACATGCCAGTACATTTTGAGTAGAGTCAATGTAGATACAGGTATAGATGCAGCACAAAGGAAAGAAAGAGTGATATACTTTATCTAGGGGGTCAGGGAAAACTTTCTGAAGACGGTTTAAAAATATGGATGATAGTGTGGTAGGTTGATTGGAAGGTGAGGGGAGTTTGTATTCCAGACAGAAGTTATAGCATATGGCAAAGCAGGGGGCCGTGAAAGTGCATTTTGTATTTGGGTAACTAAATAATACAGTATTGGTAGAGGTGGGAGTAAAGTGAAAAGAGGAGGGCATAAGCAGGTCATGGAGGCCTTTGGCCTGTAGGTCATCAGTCCATTCATTCTTTCACTCGTTTATGTGTGAATGTTTGCTTACTATGCAACACATAACTGAACAAAAACTGCCGTTATTGGGCTTCCTTGGTGGCACAGTGGTTGAGAGTCCGCCTGCCGATGCAGGGGACACGGGTTCGTGCCCCGGTCCGGGAAGATCCCACATGCCACGGAGTGGCTGGGCCCGTGAGCCATGGCCACTGAGCCTGCGCCTCCAGAGCCTGTGCTCCGTAACGGGAGAGGCCACAACAGTGAGAGGCCCGCGTACCGCAAAAAAAACAAAAAACAAAAAACCCTGCCGTTATGGACTTACATTCTAATTGGAGTGGAGATAGTGAACAGACAAGTAACACAGTATGTCAGATGATGGTAAGTATGATGAATAAAAATAAAGCAATGTAGGAGGATAGATGATGGAGAGCCCTTGAAGGAATTAAGCCAGGAAGGGACATGATCAGATTGGGTTTGGGTTTGAGAGCAGTCATTTTGGCTACAGTGTTCAGAATGAATTGGAGAAGGTTGAGGATGGATATAGGAAGGTCCGTTCGGGGAGGCTGTTGTAGCAGAACAGGTGAGAAATAATGAAGGATGAAACCAAGATGATGGCAGTGAGAATAGAGAGGAAAGGATGGATTTGCATTTTGGAAGGTAGTGCATTAGGTGATATTTAGAACCTGTTACACTTGTCACATGGTCTCCTATGAGTTGGTTTTAATTACTTCTGTCCAGGAACATATATTCTCATTATTTGAAGTTGCAGAGTAGAGTTTTGAGGATGATGGTTTACTTTTGAACCTCTGTTTTCCTTTAAGTGCATGTTACTCCATGAACAATTTCTTTTTGCTCTTGCTTCTGAATGGAGTTTTAGATTCCTAAAAATCATAATAAATGTCAACTAAATATGTGACATTTTTATGCCTTGGTTTTGGATTTTTTCAGTTTTTTTTTTTTTAAGTTACTGTAATGTTATGAAAAAGAGAAGGAAAAAAGCCCTTGTTCACATCTGTCTCTCCATACTGATAACCACTTCTCCAGTTGTAATTTTGGCTCCAACCTCTTTGTGGTTTGCGTTAGTAAAAACTGTACTATGGCAGTTTTTACAGAGGTTATAAACTCTTATGTTTCAGATCAAAAGAATATCTGATTAAGAAAGCCATTAATTACTTAATTTACTTGCCCATACTGTTACTTATACACACCATTCTTTAAAAAATAATGTATTATTTAACACCTACCAGAAACCTTGGTAGATATTTTCCAGAAGGAAAAACCTGAGTTAACCTCTTGTAAATATTTTCCAGGAGGACATCTGAAGCCTGTAAGAGCTGATGCATTTCTGCAACAAGGTTATTTGCACAAGTGACCTGACTTAGGATTTAACGTCATTTGGCAAAATTAGAGCTTATTTTATTAGTTATGCTGAATGAAGTACTTAGCCTGCATTGAGTTCCTAGCTAGGAAGTCTAGTAATAGTAGTAATAGGAGTTTTAATTTGATGAAGTCCTAATATACCAGGTACTATGCTGAGGCTTTTTGTACATTATCTCATTTAATTTTCAGA